CATTTGTCACGACACGTCTGGAGAATTACTGGTTTACCAAACTGTATACCTGCTCTCAGACCTTTTGTAGTCGATAACCTATAAAAATTCACTTTTGCAGTCAGATGAGGTGAACCTTAACTCATTCAACTTGTGCAGATTTGTCTGGCGTCTCTTTTAATTGTGTGTGGAAATGGGGTTCTTGTGGCCCCAACCTCTCCTTCCCTGCTTCCTACAAGTGCCACAGAACCAGGCAGCGTTTTGTGTCCCCCAGGGAGGTCTGAGATGTTTGAGTCCCGCCGTGTTCTGGTGTGATTCAGGGAGGGCATGGGGTGCTGCTGGGACCCTCCTGATCCGCCCTCGCTGCCCCCGTAACTCACGCCCCGGCACGAGGAAGGGCCGGGGGCTCACGGGCAGCCGTGTTACACGAGTGTTGCTCGGGCAGGGCACGGTCTGTGGTTTCACCACTATGAAACCCAAGAGGAAATGGCCTCAAGTTACGCCAGGGGAGGCTCAGGCTGGATATTAGGAAAAATTTTTTCACTGAAAGGGTTCTCAGGCATTGGAATGGGCTGCCCAGGGAGGGGGTTGAGGCCCCATCCCTGGAGGTGTTCAAAAGCCGGGTTGATGTAGTGCTGGGAGGTCTGGTTTAGTGATGATGCTCCTTGTTTGTTGTGTGGGTGTCTATTTTTGTCAGTCAGGTTGACGGTTGGACAAGATGATCTTTAAGGTCCCTTCCAACCTAGAAGATTCTGGGATTCTGTGATTCTGTGATTCTGTCTGCAGGGGGATAGAGGCCGGATGGGTGGGATGTTGTGTTTGGAAAGCTCATGCTGCAAGGGCTGCCTGCTCTATTCCAACACTGGAGATTGTAAATGTAATGGAATCAACAAAATCATTTGTGTTGATTAATCCATTAATTGGAGGGAGTCATTGCCACCGACTTCCTTGCAGTTACTGCCGGTGACCCCCTTGGAAAACACTGGCGCGTCGCTGCGAGCCCGGCGGTGGGACGGAGCTGGCGCAGGGGGCACAGAAACACAGGCTCAGAAAGGGCTTTTTGTATGAATGACAACGAAACAGCCCGGAAAGGGGGAAGAACAATTTATTCACATCTTTCTCAAGTCATTCTTTGCTCTGATTTTTCCTTTGGGAGGGTGGCACCTGGTAGACTAGGAATTTTCAAAAAATAACAGGGATTTCGTGTATCTGTTTGTGAGCACACCTGGATGTGTTGAGTACGCTGCAGTAGTAATTATGTCTGCACACCTGCTGGTTTCAGTCCCAAATCAGTTTGCCAGACGTGCCGAGAGAGATTTATTTCTCCTATACCTGAAAAAGCTCTTTTACCACTGAGTTTTTACTACTCTAAATAAGACTAAAGAGAAAAACAAAGAGGATTTTTTCTTGTCTTTGCTCGAGCCATTGGTATCTCACACTGAACCGTGGAGTTTGTAGGGGGAGGAGGGTGTTTGGATGATATTTTAATAGCAATTTGTTTTTGCTTCAATGTGTGATAGAAATACAAGTGACAGGAGTGGGAACAGGAGAGTTGCTGAATTCTGCTGGAATTTTTCCTGTGGGAATCTGCTAATGTTTTTAATTCTCTGAGAGATTTTTCTAAGGTAATCCTTTTGACATTTACGTATTTTAAATGACTCTCATTAAATAAAAGCTTAACTTTTTATATCAAACGCTGACGTGATGATATTGGAATACCAGTGCATAGACATTCAAATGGTTTGAAGATTATTCTAATTGCAACCTAAACAAAGTAAGTTTTGTGAGGAATATTAATAGTGAATTGTTCTTTAAAATAAGGTAACTTTGAAAGAAATTCAATTGTTCTGGCATTTAGTAGAAGCATTTTTTTAGACAAACCCCTTTTCAGTACCCAGTGTGTGGTGCACAAAGCTGTTTGCTTATTGGAACACTGATTTGAGCAGCTGGGTCCCCACTCCTCGCTTGTGCAGCAAATACAGTCTCTGGAGGAGCCCAAGGGTTTGCTCTGCGCCTCCTGGAAAATGCTCTCGGTTGGGTGTGTGGGAGGGGAGCCCAGCACCTGGAGGAGGGGGCTCTTACAGCACAGGGAAGGCTGGAGAAAGTAAAAAGTGGAACGTCTTTTAAAAACCAAGAGCATGATGGTGATGATGATGATGTATCTCTTACTGGTGATACCCTCTTGCAAACAAATACTGCCATAAGCAAAATAATTCGTATCTTGTAATGGCCTTTCAGAGGAGGCAAGGGTCATAGCACGAGGAGATCTCAGCAACAAGCATATGGTCCAGCCCTAAGATGCTTTTAAATGAACTTTCTTCTGTAGGTTCCACTTTGCTTGTTCAAGCCCTTCAGCCAGATTTTGCTCTCAGACCAGCCTAAATACTAAGCAAATTCATTTAATTAAATTTGCTGCAGATATCCCCAGTTAACAAGAACAGATTGGTCTCCCTGAGGCTAGTTGGAGTTAACAAGAAAATAAATGTTGTGCTAATTAGAGAACTCATTTTCAGGCACCGGGGGTGAAACTTTAAAAAGTCCTAGAGATTTAGGATTGAAAATTCATTTGGAAATGAGTCTTAGGCTTCTAAATCACATAGGTACTTCTGAAAAAATTACCCAGGGGCTTTAACCATGGCGCAGTGATCATATCCAGCGTGTTTGTAGCTGCCTGCTCAGCTCAGTGTGTATAACCATTATCTGCTGGTATCAGTGCCCCACAGAGCACTTCAGTCAAGTACTTCAGGCAAGTAGAGCCGGATGCTTTCCTGGAGTGTGGAGGCACTGATACACCAAATTTCCACGTATTTGCAATCTCATGGGACTTTCTGTTGATTTAGGTACCTAAGAGCTTTTAATTATATCTCGGTCTTCAGCGACTTGTCCAAGCTCATGGCTGAAGGTGACAGCACGGATGCAGTTTTGTAGTTCAGCACTTGCTGGAAGAAAAATGTCCCTGTCGTTTGTCTGCTGAGTCATGGTGGGAAGGATAAGGAGTCATCTCATAAGCCCTACAAAAGATGACATAGGTTTAATACTAAGCCCAATTTTCAGATTCACATACCTGATTAGCAAAAAAGCAAGCAAAGAAGCAGGAAAGCAAGCAAAGCTCCCAGGAGCAGCAGTCACTTCATTTGCTTACAGCTTGAGTGTGTGCTTTCAGTTGTTGGGTGTTTTTTTTTTTTCTATAGCCAGTCTGAGGATTTTTCTGAAATACTGTCCTTGTAAAGACATGCTTTAGTAGCGTCTGTTTGATGCCAGGTAAAACCCTTCCCACCGCCGCGCACACACTCGCTGTCTGTCAGCAAAAACTTCTGTGTCAGTAATTACAAAAATGCTATTAAACCCCTGCCTTGTAACGCCAGATCCCTCTGGGCTCCTTCCCTCCCGCTCCCTCCTCGTGCAGCGCAGGAACCCGGGATCCCGCTCCCCCGACGAGCCCCGGCTGCTCCTTTATTTATCGGTTCTGCAGTGTCGTTCTGAGGACAACAGTGTACAGCTGGAGTGTCCCAAAGAGGTGGCCTTTGGTGACAAACCCTTAGTCTAACAAGTTTATGGCAGGTGAAGCATGGCACAGATGGACACCTGGGAGCCGGATCTCCCCATGGGGGGAACCTGTCCATCATGTAATCATCTGAAAAGTCACTCCAGCCTGTCATGAGCCCAGCTCATCAGACAGCATCATAAAACGGATGAGTCAGGGCGCTAAAACATGGAGGTTATCCTCTGAGCTCATTCTTTTCATACTAATTACACACTGCTATTGAGGGAGAATTGCACATTATGCTGAGGGATCCTGTTTCAGCACTAGTCCTAAAAGATAATTGTGTTTAATTAGGACCTATAGATACCACGGTGATTAGTGATCCATACATACCCAAGGCAGACCTGCAGATGAGGTGCAGTGGCAAGTGCGTCCATTAAACAGCTCGAAAGCTGATCCTGGGGTAACATGACAATTAAAAGTTGGGCTGTTCTCATTTACCATGTAACGTGTAGCTGTAGCACTGCCTGGTTCTCTGCAATTCCTCTGCTGTGACCCTGCAGGAGGAAGACACCTGCTGGTCTTCCCTTACTGAACTGAAAGCACGTTTTGTTTAATCCGGTGCAATATATACGTGAATGGGAAAGTGATGAGAGTTGGCATCTGCAGTGGCAGAAGCTGTCCTGTTCTGTGTGAGGCCAGGACTGAAAGGGAGAAGCAGAGGTACAAGCGTGGCTACAAGAGTCACAGACAGAGCAGTGAAAAGGTCTCATGGTGAAAATATTTCTTGGGAGTTCACGATAAATTCCTCTCCATGTTTCCTGTGTCAGACAGGGCAACGCGTGTCCCCACACACTCCTCCTGCTCTGCCCCGGCTCGGACACACAGAGCTGACAGCATCCGCCTTTGCTACTCACCTTTGGGGAATACAGACCCCTTGGAATAAAATGTTTAAGACAGTAGTCGCTAAGTCAGTGTGAAATACTGCAGTTCTCTTCAAGGAACCCTGCTTGGAACCAAAGGAGTAATGGGATTCTTGTGTAAAAGTGACCATAACTCTACCCTCATCTGAAATTCTTTTCCGTTGCTCCGTTCACTGTAAATGGAAAGCACAGGAACAGTATTTTATGGGGAGGAAGGGGAGAGACTTGCCAGGGGGCTCAGTGAAATGATAAATTGCCCACTGAAATTATGGGTATCCAGTTTCTTGCATTTTGCAGCTCTTCCTTTTTGCAGTGGGGAGAACAGCTGAAGAATTTTGTATTTACAAGTGTGCCAGAGGTGCAGGCATAGGGGCAGCTCAGCACCCACCTGGCTTCAGGGATGCAGCAAAAAGAGATTTGATGGGTGCTTGATCAGTTGGTGTTACGAGGAAATCCTTTGACCTGTATGGCAAATAGAATCTGATCAGGGCATTTGCTTCTCCTACTCACTTTCCTCTTTGAGTTACCATTACTGGCTGTCATTTCTATTTAAAGTTGTACCTTCCAGGCTGCCTTACCCTCTGTGACATCTGTGTCTTCCTCTCCCTCCCCAGGTCACAGCGGGGATGGCTCTGCCCCCCCCGGACCCGCAGTTTGTGCTCAGAGGTGCCGGTGCCCCCGTCCACGCGCTGCGCTTCTGCGCCCAGGAACCCGCTGTCCCCGTCCTGTTCTCTGGGTGAGTACACCCGCGGCGTGGGGACATCTCCTTCTGAAACAAAGTGTACTATTTAGAGAAATTGTATCTGGAGAAAACAACCACATGGTGACTGGTGAGTGCTGGGTGTGTTACCTTTGTACACACAGCCTCAGGTTTGATTAAAAAAAAAAAGGCAAAGTATCAGCCTGTCCTGTCAGTGTCTGCAGCCGTCACACCAACAGCATCTGTTCTCCCTGCCAGGTCTGAGAACGGGTTTATCCACGTCTGGAACCTGCAAACACACAGGGTGGACACAGCACTGGATGGCCATGGAAGGAAATCTGTCTACTGTGTGGAGACTATGGGTGGCAGAGACAGCCTCCTGAGGTGAGCAGGCACACGAAAACCAGGGAAATTGTTCTTCTTTCTGTGATGTGTAGGGTTGAAGAAGGAAAAAGAAAGGAATCTCTTATTTCTGGAGTCACCGAAAATATACAGAAGCACAAAAATACAAAAAAAAACCCCTGTAGAACAAAAAGTAGAAAAAAGGATACCATTAATTTCTTTATGATATGTATGTAATGACATCATAACTACTGGGGGTCCATAGTGCCTTTTCTAAAATACACTGGGATTTGAAGTTGACAAATGCTTCACAACTGGTTCTCAGGGAAGATCAAAATTTATATAAAGAGTTTATAAAGAGAGGGAAGAAGGTAAGGAAGGAAGAGAAGAGTCAGAGCAGGAGAAGGGAAGGCTGGAAATGAGCAAGAAGGCTGAGCTGCTCACCTTCCCTTTGTTGCAAAATATCTCCTGTTCTCGTTCAGCAAGGGAAAGTCGGGAAGATTTGTGTTCTTTGGATTAGACAGGTGAGCTCGAGTAGATGCCAAAGTGTCTGTATGGCTGGGAGGTGTTCTGACATGTTTATCTAGAGAAGACATCTCTTATAATATACAGTGGAACTCATTAGCATTTATATTTGTTATCTGCTTAAGTACAATTATCAACACTCTCCCCCATAAAATAATACTGAATGAGCATTGTTTGTGTAATTACAGAGTTTCCCATTCCTCTATTTTTGCTGTCTCTATAGAACAGTTCATTCCCATAGCCCTGCAGTTTTAAGACAGCAGTTACCTGTATTTTTTGTTTCTCTGTTCCAAAGCTGAATCACACCACTTTCCTGCTGCACCACATTGTTCCTGTGCCGGGTGCTGTAAATGTTGTGACAGTTTGTCACTCAGCTGGAGAGCAGACAGGAGTTTCCGTATTGATGTTGAAGAACTCCCAACAGTCTGTAGATTTATATCTACCTCTGTTCAGGTTTCACACTTCCATCGGGTGACACTGCTAATTAAAACAAGAAATGGATAAGGGATTCTTAATGACTCCTTGTCCCGGGAATAACATGAGGACACGTCCTGTGCTTCTGTAGTGTGTGGCTCAGAAGCTTCTCCACCAGGGACCTTTGTTCTGGAGCCAGTGGGATCACATAAAGGTGCAGCGATTGATGCTGAGCCCCTTGTCTGGTCTCCATGGGCTGGGACCAGTGTGTGGACTTTGCTGAGGGACGAGGTGTGCGGGGGAGTCTCTGTGGGAGCTGCTCTGGTCCCTCACTGGTGCAGCTGCTGCTGCTCTGCTTTGGGATGTTTGAACCACAGCGGTTCATCGTTTGATTCCTGCTACTCCCGGCACCGTTGGGCCCTCTTCTGCTGTGTCCCCACACACACAGCCCTGACACTCTGCTGTGCCCTCCCTCAGGCTGCGGGGAGTTGACCACTGAATAACTGTAGCTTTTCATTTATCTTTGCGGTCTTTGTTGTTCTTGCTCTTTGTCTTTTAGCTGTCAACACACCTGACATTTCTATTTCATTGCTAGGGTGAAAGAGTGTTAAGTATGTTACTCTCTGGATACCTTTGTTTCCTTTAAATTAGATCTAATCAATGGTAAAAAGTAAGAATTTTATTATGAAAATGTTCAAATACTCATGAGACTGGATAAATATACACACGGATATAAATAGTGTAGCTCTGTGTGATCCAGTCTCTCTTGACAAGGAAAGGGGCTGAGTGGCTGTGTCTGACGGACCCTCAGGTCCTCCTTCCTTCTGGTGACTGTGGGACCCATTGGCTGGTCCTGCCGTGGGTGGGGGTCTCGGTGGTGTGTTTCATGAAACCCAAAGGACACCCCCGTGGAGCTGTACGAAGCTCATTCCTTTACTGCACGTTGAAGACCCAACTTTGAGCCAGGCTGCTCATGGAGAACTTGTTTCACTGCACCAGTCAGGGGCGCGACCAGAGGATCTGCCTGTGGGATTTGGCAGAGGGACGGACGGCGGTGACGGACTCCATCCTCACGGAGAACGTGGGATTCTGCAAATGCTCCCTGGTAGAGGTGGCACCGGGACGCTGGCTGATGGCCATGGCAGCCAAAGCCCTGCAGGAGGTAGGAAGTGTCTCTTTTCCTGGTGCTTGGGAGATGGGGTTTGGTTTGATGGTTCAGAAGGGAAAACATCTTTGCTCTCAAATCCTCTGCTCAAAGGAGGGCAGCACAAGGAACCTTTGGGGGTTCTAATCACCGATTTTACCTGCCGGAAAGATGAATGAATTCCGTAACTCATGCTCTAATAACAAGGATATCACCCCAAGATTTGCCTGACGTATAAGTATTTGCAGCTGCTGCTGGTCTTTCATGTGCAGGAGTTTTGAAAACTCCTCTGGTGCTGCTGAGCTGTTGGAGGGGACCAGAGTCCCCTGGGGAGCCGGTGGCCAGGAGGGCTGTCGTTAGGTGGAGGTGCTCATCTGCCTCTGGAGCTGAAAGTCCTTTGGGGAGAGGAGGGGGGTGATTTGTAAGGTGGGACGTGGTCTTTCACCCCGGGCTAATTCTTGAACTGGTACCTCGGCTGGAAACAGCTGAATTACTGTCAGCAGCCAGAGGTTTGCTCAGAGTGAGATAATTGTGGGGTCCGTGTCAGCTCCTGCTGGGTGAGTCCGTGTCCAGTGCCCGTCAGCGCAGCCGTCGCTGACTGACAGCTTTGTTGGATGTTTCCTCTTCATATGGTTTTCTTTGAAGGATTATTTGAGGACATCACAAAAAAATAAGTTATTTCAAATATTTGACATCAAAATACCAAAAATATGAAAAAAAGTGGCATAAATAAGACAAGGTAATTGCAAATTGTTCATGAACACAAAAGGTCACATGCTTTTCTGGACTAGACGATGTGGATCGTGAAACTGAAAGTTGCATATTTTCTATACAAAGTAATAATTGGGAATGGTGCCCGTGTTGCAAGAAAATGTGAGCTTTTTATTATTCAGAAGTTAAGCACACATTTAAGTACTTTGTTGGCTCACGGCCAGAACGTTCAGCCTTTTACAGAACTGAGTAAGTCTGAGACACAACCAGTGCTGCACCAGTACGTACACCCACTGTCCCACAGGCTGCTGGGATCAAACAAAGAACTCTCCCCATCTCGCAGCAGCGCTCAGTAATATTTAAGTTAAACAAAATTGGCAAGTGCATTCTTGTGTCAGCTGGAGAAGAGTTTGTGTCAGGCAAAGAGCGCACACACACACACACACGCACACACTTTCTGGTAATGAAGCATTAAATAATGGTCTGATCCAAAGGGAAGACATTTACCCCAATGTCTCTCTCATCCCGGTTTCATTGCCCCGTTTGCCTGCCTGTGCTCTGCAGCCTCCTCAGCTGGAGGCTCCACTCCGGGTATGAACCTTTACATTAGAACTGTGTCAGGTTTCAATACATTCACATAAGCTCCCATAATATATAGTGCTTCCAAATAGGCAGCACTGTGTGAGACACAGTACATTTGCAGCTTATGATTAAAATTAAGACTTAATAAGTGTTTATGCTTGGCTGGTGCCCAAAAAAAGAGTAATTTTGTCTTAAAGCAGGTTCAGTCCATAAATAATGAGATCTGAACAGGCATTTATTTGTTCATGATTGCATTTAAATCACCAATTATGAGTTACACGCACTTTTCTTGCCAATTTGCCAGAAACATGTTAAAAGCTTTATTAATGTGAAAAAGAAAAAGGGTGTGTTTCCTTGTGGCCAGTTTTAGCCACCCAGGAACACTATTAACCTCAGGCAAAGGCAAATCTTTCTCCTATTAAGTAAAACCAATATAAACACAGAACTTCAAGTTTTAGGTTACAGTTGTCAAAATATATGAAATAGCATTTATTTCTAAGGTTCAGTTGCCTGTAACGCAGCGGGTCTCTGGAGCTGTCAGCCCAGCAGAGGCAGCTCCCGCCTGCTTGCCTTCTGCAAAAACTTCTCAACTCTCTTTCTCCTCTACCAGTTTGTCCTTTTTTAATCAAGGTAAAGTGAAGGAGGTTCTTGGTGGTGGTTTGGTTTTATTTCGGTTTAATCTGCTGAGGTGCATTTATCACAGTGGGTTTATTCTTATTATGTAGAAGTTGCAGTCTCAGTCTTGGTCTTGGAGCAATGCCCTTTGCAGAGCCAGGGATGGGACACAAGAGCAGGTCAGCTCTGTATTTAGAGCCCATGCCCTGCAGTAACTCACGTGGTTTTTAGGCTGATAGCAAGAAAGTTGCCAAGAGAAAAGCATCTTGTGTTAAGAGTGTAGCTCCAAAGAACCAGAATTCCCAGAGGAAGGGCTTTGGTCTGTTCCTGGTTTGCTGTACGTACTGATGGCTCCTTGCTGTGGTCCCCGTTCCTCAGATCTGGGGAGCAGTGTCCTGCTCCATGGCTGATGGCTTCAGAAGGTGCTGTGTGCCTTGTGCTCAGTGCTGACCCGCAGCCCTGCAGTGCAGCTTTTGGCAGGAGCCCTGACAACCTCTAGAAATAGGAAGATGCTCTGGCAAGCTTTGGACTGAAGGTGTGGGACGGGAAGGCCATGGCAGCTGCCGGGCCCTGACGGACGGCTCCCGGAGGAGCCGTGTTTGTGTAATTCCTCTCTCGGATGCGCAGGGAAACTCGCCCGGCGGGGGCTGTCCTGTGGCACTGCTGGGCTTGTGCACGTTCTGAAATGGGAATTCTGATGCTGGATTTATCAAATGTTTGAAGTCCCTTAATTTTACGAGATAATGCAGACCATTGTTTATTTAACTACAGTAAAAGATCACCTTAGTGATTAAGTATATGTTTGAGAAACAGGCATGTTCCTGGCAGCAAGTTTTTGATACAGAAGAATTTCTATTTCTCCATAGTTCCAGGCTTGAGAATCAGTCCAGAGCGAGGCACTTCCCTGCCAGTCAAGAGACCCAAAACCTCCCAGTGCCAAACTGGAAAGGCAGACTCCCACCATCCCGAGGTGGAAACGAGCTACATCTTTGCCAGAGGAAGGACTTGCCCCAGGCTAAAAAAAAAATAGAATAAATCACTAGATCCATAATTCATTACCGTCAGTGTGAGCAACAGTGGGGGCTGCGATGCAGACAGAGCGGGTGTTTAACACAATATTGTCTGACTCTGCTTCCAATGGGGTCAGACCACACTGTGTTACAAATACCTGTGTGCCCCCCCAGCCCCCCTGCGTTAGCGGATCGTTGGGGTTCCCATTTGGTCAGTGCAGTCAGCTGGTAAATAAAATAATCCACCTTAGATACACGTTGGCCGTACTTCCACACAGGCTCTGAGTTACCGTGACAGAACAGAGACAGTGCGAGTGTCCACAAGTGAATGTGGCAAAAACTAGCAGGGGAGATGGAAAAAGGGGAGATGGAGAGACAGGAGGGCAGTGCTTTCTGCTGCACCAGCCTGCAGCGTTATCTGGTGTCCACACCGCATCGCCTGCTGTGCGGAAAGAAGGCTATAATAGAGATTAAACAGCAGAGAGGGAGAAGAGGATGCGTTCATTCCAGCAGTTCTGTCTGGTCTTTCCTAAACTGATGCATTTATTTTGATAGCTGCAGATCCCCCCCAGCTCCAACTTCAACACACATTCCTCAGTTTCCTCCAGACAGTTTTCACTTAATCACCTTAAAGGACTTGTGTTTTTAACAGCAGAATTTTGACCTGGAGCCTGACCAAATACTCTTGTTTTCCTGATGTCAGGTTCAGGTTTTGGAGCTGCCGTCCAAGACGTCAGTCTGTACCTTGAAGCCAGAGGCGGGTGCCAAGCTGGGCATGCCCATGTGTCTGAAGCTGTGGCAGGTAAGGCAAGAGCAACTGCTAATTGTGAAATGTTTTCCCTGTGATTCATTTTATATGAAGCACATGAATCTTTCTTCACTTGGATTTTGATTTATTATCAAACCAATCAAGTAATTATACTATTAAAGGGGGGAAAGATTTGTGAACATCCTTAATGTAACTTTCAGAGCTTTCCAAGCTTTAATGGAAGATTTGCAAGTGCTCGGGGAAAGCTTTGTCCTTAGGATAGACCCGGGTTTTGCATCAATCAAGAGGCAAATGAGTGACTTACCAAAGCCAGTTGTTTGATATGGTTTCTCGCTGCATTAAGAATGATGAGAAATGATTGGGTTACTTAAAAACAGTGATTTTAATGGCAGGTTACGTTCACTTCAGTGCCCTCAGGACAAGGAAGCACTCTGCGAACATTTCTATTCCAGACACACAATAGGAATGCAATATTGATGGTTGTACTGACATTGGACAACAGAGGTAAATAAAAGCAGTTAATGAAAAAAACCCCACATTTGCAGAGGACTCAGCAAATAGCATTTATGGGGTGCCCCCAGTGAAAGACAAGGAATACAAAAAGGTGGCAGCAGAGGGAGGAAGGAGAGGAGTTTAGGTGGTTGGCACCAAGTCTCCAAAGAATTGGTGGCAAAGCTGATTCCCAGCTCAGCCCCCCGACCAGGAACGGTTATAGCTCTGCAGGACCAGCCCAGCCCATTTTGAGGATGTTACTCCTGCAGGTTCATCTGAACTCTTCTATTGGTTTCAGCTGAAAAAATTACCAATCTGTTGTTAATTGGAGGCCTTCGTGTTTTCGCTCAAGGTCCTGAACTGACTCAAGTTGAGAGGAATTCAGTTGCTGACTTCAGACAAAAGTAGAAGAGGCCACAGTTCAAGTCCCACACTCTAATTAAAAACTAGGAAAAAAAAATAGAAGGAAAATTAAATAGGCTGATTAGGCTTTTATTAAACAGAAAGTTTCTCCTAAAAATGCAATCAGTGTTTGGTACTCAGTGAAATGAATGGGGCTTTCTGTCTCTGGACATATTTTAATAAGATGAAGATAACTGAGGAAATGTTCAGTGTTGAAAATTTTGTTGCCTGTATAAAAAAGTCCCCTGTCTTGCCATATTTTCTACATGCATTAATATTGCTATTCCTCTAGGAAGCAGAGCAGGTGCAGAGTCTTAATTTTATGTAGTTTTTAATTTTGTTACCAGTGGGGATAAAGCAGAGGACTGGGAACTGGGAGAGGCAAGTTATTCCATGCAAATTCTGGCTGGGGGAAGTCACCACAACTTCCTAGACTGCAGCAGGCTGGGACAGCTAATCCCTCCCGCTCTCACAGCTGTAGCTGCTCTTGTACAAATGTGTGCAATGCGGCTTAAAGCACGGGGGAGGAGGATACTCCTAAGGGCAAATAATGACATGTGGTGAGCCAAAGTGATGCTCTGCGTTGGTTTGTGGTGTGGCTGGAAGTGGCTCGCTGAGGAACCCTGTGCCATAAAAGCAGGAGAAGAGGAGGGACCCCAGCTGCACCCTTCCTGAAGAGAGGCCCTCCAGGATGTCTTTGTACAGCCCCGCGTTGGGAACAGCCACGGAGCCGGGAGCTGAGCCCGTGGGCAACGCGCTGCCTGAGAGACTGCCTGGCGTTGGTTATGGCACAGTCAGTTAACAAGTTGAAACAGAAGCTGACATGGAGAGAGCCACATAATGGGCTGCAGGAGTGTGCACAGGGTTGTCATCCAACAAGACTCTGGGGGTTGCAGCTGTGTATTCTGATATTTTTCTGCATGTCAGTAAAAAAGCCATCCACATATTGGGCAACAATGCACCTTCCCAGCAGCAGCACGAGTGGGAAGCTCGGCTGTCGAGCAGATGGAAACTGAGGCTTAGGTCAGGCTTGTGGATGAAGCCTCACTGTCTTCTAAGCAGTAAAAACACTGCTGGCTGTTTATTTTTCTCATTTTCTCTTTATTTTTCCTCATTTTACTAGGTCTGTCCTTAGATACATTACTTCATTCAATGAATTGTTTCCTTGTGAAGGCTGATACTCTTGAATACATTGTCCCTTCAGTTTCACACCTTCCTGCTATTACTAATTGGGTGGGGTAGGAGTTGCAAGAGTAAGGATCAGCTTCCCTTGAATTTTTTGCACTCCTTGGGGAAGGCATCGTGTTGCGTAATGGTGCAAACAAAATAATTCAACAGGAATAATACATGTAGAAACTGGAAACGCAGAGTTATTACTTTATATAAACTATAGCAATTATTCCTGTTGAGTTGACAGCAGATCACCTTCTCTTCCTTCCTTGACAGTTATCCAAATGCAACAACAAAATGTTCTGCTTAGGAAGAACAATGATTTATAATTTAATTTTTCCACTGAAACCAAAACATGAATGGTGACGACTCTTCGCCAGAAGGGTCCGTTATTGGGAACTGAAATAAATAGGCCGTTGTGCACCACTGCTTGGTGAGTCCAGGCATCAGAGAGCTCCCCTGATCTTTCAATAGCTTTTATTGTTCAAGTATCAACTCACTGAAATATTACACTCAGCTGGTTTGGGACTGTCAGGAAGAAGAGTGTGGGAGAACCTCATTACATAGAAAACAATACTTTGTTTTTAAAATAGACCAGTCTTAGATCTCACCTGCAAATCACTGGGTTTCAAATCTGAGCAGAGGTGCCCACAGCATGTACACACACACACACCCCCACCCAAATATTTGACAGAAAAATCATGCAGAGTTCTGGGCATTATGAGACACCTCCCCTGGGGGGCCTGTCTCCCCAGAGCCTGCTCCCCACCTTTCCAAAGGGAAGGGCTCTGAAGGCGAGGAGCGAGGCTGCTGCAGGAAGGAGCCCGGGAGCGGGCAGCCCTGCGCAGAGGGATGGTGGAGGGCATTTCCCCTTGGGTTCCTTCTTTTAAGTTTCTTCCCATCAGGGAGATCCATTCCGCATTTAAACACTTCTTTAGGCTGAATAAATCTGAGAAAAAACACGAGGCTTTTCCTCGGCAGCCTCATTACTGAGACCACCCATCTCTTGTTAGTTTAACTCCCGCCCAGAACAAATAACAACCAGTGGGAGCAGAGTCTGAACCATTAATAGAGGCTGAGAGCCTTTGGCCACCACAGGTTTGTATCACAACATTGACAGCCAGAGAGTCTGAGGAACCTCATCAACAATGTGATGGGATGCCAATAATGAATTCTTTATCAATCTCTTTACCTTTATTTAGAACTGAGTACTGAGCAAACAAAGCCTGTAGAATCTGACGGTGTTTGGAAAGAGCTGAGTAAGCTACTGGCTACATTTCTCAGGGTAGGGTGTCCCTGCATGAGGTGATCATAATCCCAATGGCTATTTTGCTGTTTCTTCTCCTATTAAAGAAATCACTGGCATTAAGAGATGCCTGGTTTTTAGTTGCTTTTCATTAGGGATTTGCATCTTCACTCACATAACTAGTTACTGCTCATGGGTCATTAGTCTTTCGGCCGGAGCAATGATGAATATTTTCCTTAAGTGTGACATGTAATCCAGTAATGTTCCCTTCTTTGAGTTATTTCAGAGGCTTAAATAAATTAGGTGTCTGCCCAGGGTGCCATGCCCTTTGGCCTGTGACATCATTAATCAAAATAGCTTTCAATTGGTTACAGTGGGACTTGGGCGCCCGTTAACCCCTTGGTGACTCACCCAGAGGTTCCTGACAGAGATTCAGTGTTTACCTTTAAGCACTTGGGAAATGCTCCCCAGTCCCCGTGTGTGACCCCCCCCTTGGCAGGGGGGCACTGGCAGCGCTGGGCACTCCGGCAGCGTCCAGGGGGGGTTGGAACTCAGCTGATCTAAGTCTTGTGGTTTTTTAAGGAGCACAAGCAAAGTTCAGGCCATGAAGTAAATCTTCTGAAAACTTCAGGCAGCCTTTTTTCAGGTGTTGTAGATGGCAACAGTTTGGATTTTTCAGAGACAGATTTTCTATTTGTGTATATATAAGTATGTGTTAGATAAATGTTATATCTCTAAAACATAAAATGTTATATGTAGATATAAAAATCGTAAGTGTGCGTCAACAGCTTCTAATGCTTTTGGTAAGTGGATGGACGATCAAGATTTCACATTCAGATTTCTAAACATTTCACTTCTACACCAGTCAGCGTTGTCATTTATTGGTGCTTGGACTGAAACCTACCTGGGGTTGACAATTTTCCTAACAGACTATTTACTTTTCAATTGTACTTTTCTCTTGATCAGCCCAGCTGCGGTTCCCCGTTGCTCCTGGCTGGCTATGAGGACGGATCAGTGGTGCTTTGGAATTTGTCAACGGGAAGAGCGTTGAGCCAACTCGTTTGCCACCAGGAGCCAGTGATGAGCCTTGACTTTGACTCGGAGAAGGCCAGAGGGATCTCGGGCTCATCGGAAAAGGTGCTCAGCATCTGGAGCCTCAATGAGCAACAGAACCTCCAGGTCAGGATCATTGGCCCTCTCGTGTCATTTATCCCACTTTGCACTAACAGTTTGATAGACTAAAAAAAATATTTAGTCATGAAGAGGAGTTGTTGCAGATCTCTAGCTAATTAATCACAGACTGGTTAGAATGTCTGTGCTATGTGACTGGGCTTAGCAAAAGATGGTGAGGATTTAAAAAAAAAAAAAGAAAAAACCCTCTCTCACATGTTTCTGGTTTTACCAAAGTTGCAACAGGCACACAAGCCCAGCATTACTCAAGCCATTGCCTCTGTATCTTCATTTATCACGCTAGGAGTATTCAGCTCTCGGAATGTCCTAAACATTATAAATGAGTTATAAAAATGAGAAACAAAGGATTGCTTTTCCAAAGGTTCTGCTTGAATGGATAAAGGCTTCCTTCCACTGTGGGAAAGAGAGAAATATTCCATGAAATACTTCACGAAGAGAGTAGGAGTAGCCCAGCCAGCACCAAGAGGACATGAGGTTTAGGCAACCAACTTCCTTTGGCACCTTGAGAGCCCCAGCCAGAGACAGAGAAACTAAGTTAATTGGCTCTATGAGTGTGCGTCTGAGAGACGCAAACCTGGAATGACTGGTTTAGAAGGAGGTCTCATAACCACCAGTTCAGGCCATGCTAGTGAATGGCAATAAATATTGCTTAATCTAGACAACTTTAGCAAGTGTTCCAACAGTGCCAAGGGGTTAAGTAGGTTTTAACTAGGTGTGGAAATGAAGTGCATAAATAAGGCTCATGAAAATTAAAATGGCCTGTGCGTAGCCTCTGCACTGTGAGTGCTGTAACCTTTCTCAAACTGGCAGTTGTGGCCTGAACACAGAGTGAAACGGCCGTGAACCAGCCCCTGTGTCCCCCACACCTTCCTTGAGAGGAGAGCTGCTGGTTACACCAACTCAGGCAGGAGCATTAATTGCTCTTCCAGCTTGCAGCTTTTGTGAAGGTTTTTTAGGTAGTTTGGCCAGCTCATGCTGTTTTCTGCATGGTGTCACAGGAAGAAAAAGCAAGTGCTTGGCTGTCTGACAGGTGCAGGTTGTGTAACTGCAACCCACCGAGCTGAAGTTTGGGGACACAGTGCTCGCCCAGGAGAACATCTGAACTTTAATAAGCAATGAGATATGAAGTGAAAGACTAGACTCTGAATAGCAAAGTAGCGAAGATGTACTCAGCAAATGTGATAAGAGTTTTAACAAGTCTAGTGCCCAGTTGTCATAGTTTGGGGTTTTTGTCATGTCTGCCCTCCCCCTGCCCTGGCCTTTCTGTCACCATTGGCGCACATCTGCGCACACCCTTAGCTCAGGGACATGGAAGGAAGGTGATAGATAAGTCCCAGTAAGAACCTTTGTATTGGGGATAGTTTTCTCAGGCCAAGGTGTCAGAAATCTGACATCATGACAGCCGCCTTAAAGCTTCAAACACTCTGGTGCTGGAGAGGAAGCTGTTCCTTCATATTAATTATAGCACGGCTTTTTCCTAAATTCAAAGAAAATACTGTTCATCACAGCAGGTTTCAGTTTGGAGTTAACTGTAACACAGGGGTACATACGATGCATAGGAAAAACAAACAGTTCTTCACCTGAAATACTCCAGGTACTGTTTTCCACATTCCCAGGAGATGTAGGGTTAGTTACATCTTCAGCACAGCACACTGAGAGATAGTAGCTTGTCTCAGAAGAAATTAAAATGCCAAGTATTATAAACTGTAAGTAATGTTTCTGTGCTTCATGCATAGTGTGAATGCCCTAATAAAATGCATCTTTCATGTGAGCACTAGAGATTGTCAAGGACATAGATTAAGTTTTTTTCCACTATTGCATTAATAATATAAACCAGATGGGGATTTTTTTTTCCCTGACATTCCAGGTACCTGAGGTAATGGTAGACGTTGGAAAGCCACTCAGTGGCACATTATTTTTATTCTAAAAGGTTTTAATAAGTAAACGTGGTGCACAGCTATCTGCCGTTGGAGAAATAATGATGCAATGATGGTACTTGGGCTCTGTTTTAAGTGGCAACGTTCCAGTGTGTCAATGAATAGATGATGAAGGTAACTTCATAGTTTATTGCTATGGGGAAAGTTTGGTGCATTGTCTTCTACAAGAAAGTTGCTGAAATCATCACTATCAGCAAATGACTGGATTGGTTATGAGCCTTCTGATTTGGATGAGATAGTGTAATTATGTGATGATGTTTGTGGTATAATGTAGGAGGTAAACAGCTTCTGCAGGTGAATAAACAAAGCAGAACTAAGAAATCTGATAAGCACAGAAGCTCCTTTATATATGACAAGAAAAAACCAATTCTGTAAGCTGTGGTGTAAGTACGTGCACAGGTTTTGTTGTCTGGGTTGCTGAGGCTTTTCCCTCAAATGCGGAGGCTTAGGCTGCCATTACCTTGGCTATTTTTCTAATAAGAATAGGGGTTAAAGACACGGTCTGGGTGTAAGAGAGGGAAAAAGGAAAATCACAGATAGCATGTGTTCAGGAGGGAAGGAGAGGTGGGTGTCTGTTGGCCTCAGCATATCAGAATTTCTTCCTGCATCTGCTACTGGATGTGAGTTTCCTTGCTCATGACTGGCTGAAAGCAGCTCACCTGTTTTACCTCTTTGTTTGCTTAATTACGAGCTCGTTTTCTGGTTAGGAAATGGTGTTGGTATGCAGCTGACTGCAGTAGTTGCCCATAAGTGACTGGATGGCACAAATCCTGACAGCAGGATTTCACCTGGCTGCATAGACCTTGAGCAAGTTGTTCTGCTTTGTTTTCTCTCTCACCTCTTGTATTTGCAGATCGTGCACAAATGCCCACTGTTCCCTCATGTTCCATAGCCAAAAGGCATCACCATTACAGGCTTCATTTCAAGTTGTAGCTTGCTGATGACATGCAATTTCTCCCAGTCGCCCTGATTGTGCTGTATGGATGTTGCCCACATAATTGACAGTAAGGATGGGAAGCACCACGCCCGGGATTGGCTATAGCCATTAGCTAATAATCTCGTTTACAGAGTCAGGCCCATTGCGTTTGCCAGGCGGGTGATGCAAGTCACAAATCCTTCCCTTGCCAGTGGGCACACGCCAACACAAACCCCACTGAAGCCTCGCTGCGTGAGCCCAACTGGGGAGTGTGGGTACAGCCATCCTAGCAAAAAGCACAGGTTTGACAGGAGCAGCCCCACAAAAAGGTGCGCACACACACTCACACACACACATACACTCTGGTGCACACACTCCATGTGTTTCAGAAGTAGCTGCTGACTAATACAAGTTACCTGAGGTAAGAACAGCCAAAGTGTGTTTTATAGAGCTTTTCCCCTGTGCTTCAGGGGAAACGCATGTCAGTGAAGTGAAAACTTTTCTTTCCAAGGGCCAAGTCTTGTGTAGCCTCAGTACCTCCTGAAGGAAGCTAAATGCCCTCCCATTTAATTGTGCCCAGTAGTCTCCAAACAGTAACAAAAAGCTTCCAAGATTGAAATCAATAACTTGGTCATAATCCCCTTCTTGGAATTTGGTGTAAATAAAAGTCTCTTGGGAAAGAGTGCTAGAAATACAGATTTCCTGACACTGTAACCTAATTCCTGGAAGCATTCCTTTCTCAAGACTGTGGTAAATGCTACCACAACTTATTGGGGTTTTTGAGAGGGACCACAGTAGTAGAAATAAGTAGCAGGTAGTTTAAACATCAGCTCAGAATCTCAGCGTGGAAATATTGCAAAAGCAGGGAAAATACATGGCCATAGCTCTGAACGTTGCAGCTCATGCAAGAATAGCTGTGTAGTCTGTGTCTCAGAGCCCTGACCCAGAGCTTCACTTGTGACAGAACACAAACAGCTTTAAATGCAAAAACATGCTAGGGATGCTTTTAGTTTTAGAGAATGGTGCTGGAGATAGACAGGCTCAAGTTAAGGTCTTTTCCATCTTTGTCTATAATTGTTCTCACTTAAGGCCCCAGCCACCGTGTGGTGAAAAGCTCCACGCTGCCCGTGCGATAGCAGTGTGGACAGGTGAGCACTGTCCCTTCTAAGTCACCAAATGTTCCTTTGGCTTCTGTTTAAGTAACAGCTCATCTGTAACTTTCTCACACAGGTTTACAAAACACACGAACTTGTCAACGCTGGCATATCTGCTGTCACCATCCGGCCAGACAAGAAGATTTTAGCAACAGCAGGGTGGGATCATCGCATCAGGATCTTTGGCTGGAAGAAGCTGAAGCCCTTGGCAGTGCTGGACTATCACACGGCCACTGCCCACTGCCTGGCCTTCTCTGACCACAGCCACCCCGCCCAGCGCCTGCTGGCAGCGGGCTCCAGAGATCACCGCATCAGCATCTGGTCCATATACACTCAGACGTGACACGTCCTGCCCTGCCATGGACTAGAAGAGGACCAGGGAAGCAATTCTTTACACTGCAATTCAAACCTGGGCGTGGGGAAGGAACAGAATGTATTTCCAGGCTGAAGTGAGAGTTCTAGGTTAATTCTTGAGCTGCTTGTTCGAGCTGCAAGTTTTGTTTTCCAGAGAGGGAAGTGGATTTTTAAAATTTATAACAAGCAGAGCACAGGCAGTCACAAAGGAAGACACAGAACAAGTCACTGAGTTCTGCTACAGGCTTTGCAACAGCTTTTCTTTGGCAGGTTGCTTAAACAACTTGTGCCATTTTCTACTTTGGTGAAAAAGGACTGGAATCCCTCAGACTGCGGTGGGGGCAGAATTATGTACCCAAGAAGCTGAATCAGTGTAAAATATCACTCTTTCTTGAAAATTTATACCCATTAAACCACCTCCAGTGGGTTCTCATTGTCAGTTACTTTTTCTTCCCCACAGCTGAAAGGCTATCAGACCAACCTTGATTTGTTCACACCGCTGTCAGCTTCTAACTTAAACCAACAGCCAGGAATGTGACTGGGGACGGCCTTTGGCATTTATGAATTTCATTATGTCTCCTGTCACCTCAAGCCTCACAATTAATCACAAGAAAGAAAGGGGAAAAAATCTTCCCCTGCCCAGCACTGCAAAGCTGTGTAAAGCCCTTTACAGAGCCAGTGCTAAATCCTTTCCATAGACTGACTAGCTGGAGAATTTGAACTCAGCAATCCAATTAGCGCCCTTCTCCTTGGAGAGTTCGGGGGGAGTTTTAGCGTGGCAAGGCTGGGATTCAGCCACACAACTCCCATTAACGTTTAGGGGAATTGCATGGATAAATCCTTATCCACACAGCGCAAATGGCTCCATTAACTTGTCATCTCTGCGGTCATGGGAGCTGAAATTAATTTGTGAAGGATTTTTTTGTTTGAATCATGAAGCAGCATTTGCATTCTTTTAAAGCATATTAGCCACACAACAGTCTGCTCATGGACATCTTCCTGTTGTGTCCAGGCTCAAAGCTGCAGTTACAATTAGGAAGGGCCAGTTTGGTAAATAGGAGGTGCTCTGGAAACCAGGACTCAGCTTTACAAACTGAAGTGTTCTGTGCCCAGGCTGTGCACTGTTGATACTTTACTGGAAATATTTGTTTCTGCCTCTGTACAGAGCTGGACATGAAAGAAAAAGTCATCAGCATTGTAGTGAACAGCAACATCAAAAGGCTTTGGAAATTATTTCAGGGAAAACACACAAGCAAATTAAGGTCTGGGTCTGGTACCCAGCTGTGCTTTACAGGCAGAGAATATTGTTGGACTAAAAGTCTTACGCACCAAGCCTGATATTATTTCCATTAAAACACAGAAACAGGGTGCTGCTGCCAGGCTTTCCTCAATAAAACTTGGCCTTACACATTTTGGAGTGTGATAACACTTTAAATAATGCATATCTTTGATTGTTTCTTTACTATTCAGTAGCTGCATGGGGGATGGCATTGCAGCTGAAAGTTATGCCTAATTTTGAGTGATCCTGAGGCGGGGGGGAGGTACTGGTGTTCGTTACATCAACCACAACTGTGTAGATGGTAAGTGCTCCATCTCCACCCACCATCCCACTGCTCAGTGCTGGAGCCCAACGTGCTTTTGGATATCTGAAAAGCTTAGCTTCTGAGCAAAATTTCAGTTTCCACAGCTTGTCACTCAAAAAACCCCCAAAACCCAACAAACCAAAACCAACCAAACAAAAAACTGTAGGAAATAACTTCTGATGCAAATGCTGTGATATTGGCACAATAGCAGGCCCCTAGCAAGAATGGATTAATTCTCCATGTCTTAATATTAGATCGGAGCCTGAAAGTTAGAAACTCTTGAGCATATTATTTTCTCTGAAAAATGCCATTTACTGTCAATGGCATTTTTCATGTCAATGCAATTGTGGAGATTCTCAAGGGATGTTTAGATTTACTCATAGGTCTTTTGGAAGATACACTAAAGATTACTATGTGCCTTCACATCAAACTTACTGCCCTTCACTGGGGGTTAAATATTGATGTTTGTCTCACTAGGTAGATTTAAAAATAAACTCAGTCATGCAAACACAAACTGAAAATAAGGGCATGAACCACATCTGTAATCTTACCAGCAGCCAGACACGGGGGTGAAGAGTTTCATCAGTGTCAAGAGGAAGGACACGTTGCAGATCTACTTGCAAGAACAGACCCATCTGATCCTTACTTCCCATTACCAAAGCACTATCGTGTGATACTTTTGCACATTACAACAATTAATTAACACTTTACATCATCACTGATTTTATTTAAACACTCAGTAAAGGGATTATTTTTTTCTACATTCTAGTTTCCTTGAAATGAGCAGCCAGACTACATTAGTTTGATTTAGAGTTGAGCCTAAATGCCATAGTTTGAATATGAATTACAGTCTCCTACAAGTTTATTTGCTTAAGGAACTGACCAGGACTTTCCCGAAGTAGAATGATTTCCAACAGGAAAGACAGCCTATATTGCTAGAGACTGTCAAATACAGTTGTCTGATTGCATCAAGGAAATTAACAAGTTGTTTTTCTGAAAAAAATTTAAAGCTTTTTATAATTGTAACACAAGCACAGTTATCACTCCAGCCTTCAGCTGACGTGCTCGCAGGGAGGCTGTGAGCGAGGAGCCACCTTAAGCTGCTGGAGTTGGCTCTGGACTCTCCCGTGCCAGAAAGGAGCAGGACGAGCCTGTACCTGGCCGAGAGGAGTCAGGAGAGAAGGCAATGACAGCTGAAGTGTTACAAAAGGCTTCCTCCCGACAACCATCGTCTTTGGCACTGCGAGAGGGAAGAAAGGAACCAGCATTCGTAAACTAATAGAAATAAATCCCAAACACTAGCATTTGTGCAGCAATTACATGGAATATTTATCATCACTGGAATGAATGGTGATCTCTGACCCTCGAACATTTTTTGCAAATGAATCCATTAGTTCCAACCCCTTTCTCTTATCAGTACATGAGCCATAAAGCATTGCAGGTGTAGATGAGCAAGGAAAGAGGAGATTAATTGTATTTGTAGTAATGAGTGGAAGAGGAAGTAGGCTGAGGGCCGGCAATGAGGCAGTTGTTAAATTTAGCCCTCTACAATGCAATTGCATTAGTAAGTAAATAAATTACTCTCTGCAGCTTGACTTTTGGATTGTTGCAAAGTTTTCAATTTTAAAGAGCAGATTTTTATAGTTAAGTCAATACTGGCTTCTGGACTGCTTTGGTTTTTAGCACATTTAAGATGCATCTACAAAGCCAACTTACAAATTAATAAATCTTTCCTTTAATTCAGCCTGCCAAGAACAAAGATAGAACTGACTACTGCAGGAGCCATGTTAGTGATGTAAACCAAAGGACTGGGGATTAAACAAGGATTACCGAGCGCTAAATCAATGTGTTTCCTTTTCTGGCTGTGTGTCTGTGGTGTGAAGGTATGGATCATGACATAAAACACGCATATGACTGCCTGGATTAATACTAGACAATGTTACGGCAATGCTGAGACACAACATTGATGTTTAAGCACGACCAGGGCGCTACCAAGAAAGCCATGGCAATGACTAAGGAAGAAGGCATGTTTTTCCTGTTGTTTGCAGTAGTTGGCAATTTCAGCCTGGGTCCCCCTACTAGGGTAGTCTTTCCAAGTAAACCTCTGTGTGTTTAATCCATGCCCTTCTCTTCTGGGGCATGCTGGAGCATTTTTATATTTTTTTTAATGCAAAGGAAACTATCCAGAATTGAGATCCTAGTAGTTTTTTGGCAATTTATTTAAGGATCTCACAGTATGAAATTAAATGCAAAACCCCCTCATGTCTGCACTATCAGAACAGCAGAGAGAAAAGTAACTTCTAAAATAGACTGAAATTGAAGCATGCCAGGCGTGACACTTGCCAACAACGTCAAAGCAAGCATGGAACAAGCAGCCACATTCTGTACACCGAATGCTTTGTCCTCTGACCTTACCCCATTCTTGGGTATGGCTTTATTTACCACCACACCTTATCAAACACCACAAAATAAGGGGTCTGCTTGGTTAAGCCAATCCGCTCCCCTAAGCTTTTGCAACGCTATCATCAGCTGCATTTCCTCAGCCTATTAAGAATTTTGTTCCAGAGTACTAACACCCCCAAATACGTGTAATGCTCATGTCCGAGTAGGTAAGCTTTCTTTTAGCTATTAGTGGTTTATTCCCCTTCAATACAATCCATCACAAAAAACCCCTCAGACGCTACAATGTATGATCAAAGCACACAGCTGGGACCATAGAAACATAGTCTCCCCGTTGTGACTGTTTTGTTCATTTGCTCATACAAAATCTATCTATATATTCTACCACCATTACTGTGTACTGCCTTATTCTGACTTCTCAGAGGAATTTGATTTTTAGGGCATTATGAGAGGAAGGGAAAGGGGGGTAAGGGGGAGAATCAAAACAAAGAAGCACTTGCCCCTGTAAGTTAGGGGATACAAAGATTCTGGAAAGCACAAAGAGCCTTGAAGCAAACCACCTCCAGAAGCACCAGATTCCTTATGGGAAAAGGACAAGGATGGCCGGGAAGAAGAGTACCCAGAGCAGGCGTACGGTGACAGGTCTGTCTGTCTTGTACACCAGCTCCTTCAGTTTCACAAGTATTTGATTTTATGTCCCCACCATCCCCCATTCATCCCATTAGGAAATCATGTAAACTGCAGCCTACGCATCATCTAAATAAGCCTGTGCTCACCCAGAAGAGCATATATTTATTTCTATATTGCTATGAACAGTGGTAATGCCACTGAAGATAGTAGCAGGAGAGAGTAAGGTCTTGAAGCAGCCACATGCACCACAGAAGAACCATCCCAGAACAGCAGTGACCATCTCCTTAGAGTAAAGTGAGATGGCACTGAAAAAAATAATTCTGACAATTGCCTATTACAATTTGAAGTTATAATTAAAAAAAACCAAAATAACCAAACTAAAGAGCTGTTAGATAAGATTTAGATTACAGCTGGATGCTGTTTTCTCCTAGGTTTTATTCACAGTATAGGTAAATTAGGGCAACAAAATACTATAGGAATCCTTTGGCACTTTCTCAGCAATGATCTCTCTTTCCTACCAGTTGCAGGGCTGATTGATCCTGATTACGTCCAGCCAGGGCATCTGGGGAAGTTTTTAAAATGCTGAGCCATTATTCTGCTCTGCAGCTCTGGAGTGTCGTGCATGCAAAGGTACATTTTCCAGGCAGCCACGGCACTGCTTGCTATAAACATGTTCTGACCCAGGTAGGAGCAAAGTTGGTGCACTGGGCCTATATACTAACTTTAAACATGGCAGAGAATGTGGACATGGCATTTGTCTTTGTGGTAATTTAAAAAATTGCTGATACAAAATCTCAGTGATTCATTGTCTATGTTCACAGAAAAGCATCTAGGCTGCTTTTAACGTAATACTTATGGTAAGTATTGTCTTTTCAGATTTTTTTGCCTCAGATATTTTGATGGCATGCAGACTTGGCATCACGCTAAATAGAGACATTGAGTCTTTATAGTTTTATCTCTTGAGCCCATCTGGTTTGAAGCAGTTGACAACAAGCAGGAAAGGGAATAGAATGAAAGACTCACTTCATGTTTGCTGAAATAAAAGAAATGTGTAAGGCAGTGCTCAAATAAAACCAGCCTGAGAGGAGGGCCCTGCACCCCCCTCTCCCCACCCCTCCTCTGCCCTGTGCCCATGACTGGACGGGGAAGGCTTCACCTGCAGCCCCTCCACTGCCCGACGGCGCTGCTGGAGCTCGCGCCCGGCCCAGAGGCAGCCGGAGCACGGAGGGAGAAGGGGAACCCTCTGCTCCCCGGAACGAGGGACAACAGGAGCACTAGGCAAGCAGAGTGAGAAAACCAACCACAAACACAGAGCCCTTGTCCATCTGCCACGCTAAAACAATTGAAAAAAATAATAGTGCAAACACCTCACACCAAGGTGTTGGGGTTTCTTCAATGTTTTACGTGTTGCTTATTCCGTTTTTAACTTCCTTTTGCAATTTACAGCCCCAGCCCAAGGACTTCAGTCTGAGTAGCTGGGCACTTGGGCAATGACCCCATCCCAGGCAGGTGCAGAACATGGCACCAGCTGAAACACCGGGGGCAGGTACCAAAACCAGCTTCAGCGAGAGCAGGGAAACATGCCCTTTCCTTCTCCAGCACCAACCACTGAGGGCTGCTCACACAAGAACTACTAAATTCTGCAGCTGAACTAGGCTGGCACAGACGTGGGAGGGCACTTGCTCTCTGAGTGAGGCACATGGCATGACATGCTCGTCTTCTCAGGGAGGTGACAAGAGACTCTCTGTACCCTCTCTGGGAGCACACAACGAAAGCTGCTGTCCAAGTGCCTGATTCTACACCGTGTAGCAGCGAATCCTGACAGTGCGCATGCGTTTCCCATTCTGCTGCTCCCTCTCCTTATAGAATTAGGTCCTAAATGTGACTTTTCTGGCTTTTGTTCTTAATCGCTTTGTTACTAGTTCAAATTTATAATTTTAACCTAAATAGAAGTGAGTGATTTATTGTAATTATTTTGTATAGGCTGCTCTTCATAAACTTTTTTTTTTTTTTAATCTGGAAAAACATTTAATTTCCCATATGGAAAGAACGCATTTATCATACTTTACTCAGATACACTTGGCTGACTATTGCACATATATGCAAAACATATGTGATATATTCAAGGCTGAATTTCATAAAACAGAAATGCTATGAAATGTGATATAATAAATATATTACACAGACATATGTGGCCAATTTATAAAACTATGGTATCTTTGGTAAATTTATAATAGGTCATTTCTATTAATGGGGGGAATGAGTGCATTTTTCTGGCATATGCAACACATACAGTACTTTACATAGGCTTCCTGAAGGGAGGCAGACCTTTCAAAAGCAGATTTGTACATGCACATATAGAGTGTATATGGGACATGTCCATATTTTTCAAAATTAATGTATATCTCCAAAACCAGCTTTTGCTTTTTGCAGTGCTCATGTGTGCAACATCCCGGGCACAAAAAGGTATGAAATACTGTTCTTGGAGATTAGCAAACCTCTGACACAGTAACTAGATTCCCACAGACAAGGGGTGTCTCACTTCAATAAAGAGCGTGTTTTATAAGCACAGGCTGGGCTCATGATAATGGCCAGTAATAGAAAACTTTGAGTACGGTCCCTTTCATCTAGTTGTGTCAAACACTGGTGTAAATTAAATATCTTACTGATCAATTGAAGTAAAATAATTAAACGAGGACCAAAAAAATGCATACATTTAGAAAAGTTCCATACATACACACATACTGGTCTCTATTCTAGCAGACTGTACTCTTCACAACACCACAAGCTTATATCAACAGCTGAATTATTCCTGGCTGATTATCTTCAAATTCTAACTCACAGATTATTTATACTTCCTTATTTATACCTGTGTGCTTCAAAGATCAAATTTCTGCTTTATAAAACAAATCTGTATTTTCTCTCAGACTGCCTATTTGCATGTTTGGGCAGAAGTTCTGCCAGGGCTCCCTTCCCTTCCCGCGCGTGCCCGAGCCGAGTGCGATGCCCGGCTCTGCCCTCTGGAGGGAGCCGGCTCTTCAGGCACGGCCGGGAGCGCGCTGCCGCCCCGCCGGTACCCCCGGTACCCCCGGAGCCCGACCCCGGGAACACAGCATCTCCTGGCTACACCGGCCCGTAACATAAACGGCGGGTGAGAACATCGCACCCACCGGCTCAGCGCTCTGACAGCAAAACCGCGGTTAGAAACCA